CCAAGCTGGAATAGGATATTATCTTTTGGAAAAATTATCTTATATAGCTCAGTACATCTATTTTGAAGGAAAATAAGTTTCATAATGATGTATTTAATTTTAATAATTAGAAAAGAGTTTTTTAAAACTACTGAAATTATCTTAAACCAAAAACTGGGTGTCAGACAATCAGAAATTTTTCGCCGACAACTTCATAAAGTTATTAAATACACAAAGACACTTGGCAGACTAATGTCACTCACGAAACATAAATTTAAGTACAAAATGTACCGTCCAATATCAACTCATGTTCAATTTTTACGAATTTAACCCTTTCAGTCCCAGTGGTCGATATATCGACCACCTTTTAAGCCACCGATTTCATTAACATAACTTAAAGGAAAACTTTAAATAATTGCATATTTCTTATTTTTATGCTTCTACAAATAGGGTTTAGTAGTTTTTTTTAACAAATTAATCTATATTATTTATGTTTTTTTGTTATTAACAAACTTATACACGGAAACGCATTACTTCAGGTTAAACTTGACTGTAATCAAATTAAATCAGTAACATATACTTTAAATTATGTTTGTTTTCTAAATTCTCGGGGTTTGCTGAATATTAATCTAACATTAGATATGCAAATTCAAAATGATGTATCCAATATTACGGACAAAAATTAAAAATTAAACAAAATTTGCTTGAAAATTGTCTCTCGGGGGTTTATGGGGTCGCTGATTACGAATCTGAAGTCAGTTTTTTTAAAAATTTAAAATAGTGGATCCATTAAACCATATGGCGGACATAAAAAGATACGAATTTGGAAACACCCTCCTTTTTTTAAAGTTAGAAAAACTGACTTCAGATTCGTAATCAGCGATCCCAAAAACCCCCAAGAGACAATTTTTAAGGAAATTTGTTTAATTTTTAAATTTTGTCCGCCATATTGAATCCGCCATTTTGAATTTTGAAAAACTGAATCCAGATTTGTAATCTGCGACCCCAAAAACTACCTAGTGACAATTTTCAAGTAAATTTGTTTTATTTTTAAATTTTCTCGGCCATATTGGATCTGCAATTTTGATTTTTGAAAAACTGACTCCAGATTTGTAATCAGCGACCCCATAAAACCCCCGAGTGACAACTTTCAAGTAAAATCAAATAATTTTTAATTTTATAGTCCGCCATATTGGCTCCGCCATTTTGAATTTTCAAAATTTTGAAAATCTGATTCCAGATTCGTAATCAGCGATCCCGAAAACCATAGGTACTATACCTATTGTAGATATTTTTCAATTGTCCTAATTATGGGACTTAAAGGGTTAACCGAAATATTAGAGTAAAAAGCTAGAATATGGGTGTCGCACACCCAGGGTGCGGTTTAAGGGTTAAAGTATTAAAACAACTACATTTCACTTTCTCTGAATAAAATATAACTTTATTTAAATCCATAGTTGTAATTTATGAAAACTATATTCATTATTTATTAAACCAATTTGTTGTTTATAGAATTGTTTATAGAATTCATAGTTTATCAATATTAAATCATACTTCAGACATGAATAAAACGAATTTTAATATTTAAAAAATAAAACTGTTTCGTCTTAAAAAGATATAGTGAGCGGATTTACCCTGGAAAATTGTAATTTTGAAATTTGGTATCTTCCTTAATATGAAACGAGTAGATATGCAAATTAGGTAAAGAGAGACATTCTTATTTATATTGCCTTTAGAGAAAGAGACAAAGGTAGCCGTTACCAGAGCCGGCGTTACCGGCGCCATTACCCAGACGTTACCTTTTGTGTTTCAATTATAAAAGTATATCCTTAATATGAAACGAGTAGATATGCAAATTAGGTCAAGAGAGATATTCTTATTTATATTGCCTTTAGAGAAAGAGACAAAGGTAGCCGTTACCATAGCCGGCGTTACTGGCGCCGTTACCCAGACGTTACCTTTTGTGTTTTAATTATAAAAGTCAATATATCCCTATATTAAAGAACCAGTTGAAACTAGTAGAAATTGAACATGGATCTACTGGTGTCAACTTGCTTTCCAAATTGAAAAACTTTTCCGTGTAGCAATTCTACTGGTTTTAACTTGGAAATCCTATTTATGTAACTGAAACGGATATCCAAGATAAAATTGAAATGGTTCTATCCTGGATTGTCCTCTTCAATTTTTGTTTCGACTTGTTTTAACATGGATTTCCAATCTTATCATTTCTACTTGTATTTCCAAGTTCGCACGTACTACAAGTGTCAGCTTGCATTTCCAAATACAAAAATTAAGTTCAAGAATCTACTTGGTTCAATTTGGATTCTCGAATACTACATTTCACTTGTCCTGTCAAATTAAAAATCAACGAGCTTGAGTTTGGAATTTCCAACTCCAAATTTATATAGCAGAGTGAAAGATTAATGTCATCTTGGTTTCATTTGAATCGGGGATACATTCTATTTGGAATTTCAAGTTCAAATTTAAAGAGTTGGATTAATCGCGAATTGGAATTCATTAAATTGTCATTTTCGCCAATTGTTATTTTTGCAAAGAATTATTATTGGAAATTTACATTTTTACAAATATTTATTTTAGTTTACTGTTATTTTGCAAATTTGTTATTTTTGCAAACTTGCATTCTTCGCAATTGACAGTTTTACAAATTGTTAGATACTTTTGCTAATTGTTATTTTTTGGTAAACTGTTTTGTTGTGTATCATTATTTCTGCTAATTTTATTTTTGCGAATTTGCATTTCTCGAATTGATACTTTTATGAATTTGTTACTGTTGCTATTTGTAATTTTGTAATTTTATGGAAATCTGCAGTTCACAACAAAACAATAAAACACTTTTAACCGCTTTCTTGAAATTTGAAATTTTTGTTATTTTTTTTGCATTAACAAAATATTACAAAATTTAAAAAAAATTAATAACTCAAAAGCCGTTTACAATAAATTAATAAAACTTACACTATTTACACAAAATTGTTTACACTCTTTTAATAGAAAATATTTGCATGATTGTACCTAAATTTAAAAATTCCGTATTTTTAATAACAATTTTAATTATTTATGTGTTCGACCGCTCCTGTTGCAATGAAACTCATAAGAAGTATACTCAGTAGTCTCTTCTTGAAACCCCCCAAAAAAAATTTTGGTATTTTCAGTTTGAAATGTACATAACGAATTTTTTTTATTAAAAACGCGCGCCAACTCCACAGTGGGAAAAAGTTGATTGTTGTGGAAAATTCAGTCTTTCATTTAAAAAAAATGTATAAAAAACAAATAATAATTGTAACGTCTAGACTAAATTTTCCACGACAATCACATTTTTCCCATTGTGGAGTGGACGCGCGTTTTTATTAAAAAATACGTTATGTACATTCCAAATTGAAAATTTTTTATTAGGGTCTTTAAAAAGAGACTACTGACTATACCTCCTATGAGTTTCATTGCAATTGGAGGGGTAGAACACCTAAATAATTCAAATTGTTTATAAAATTGTTATTAAAAATATTGAATTTGTAAATTTACAATCATGAAAATATTTTCTTGTAAGAGAGTGAACAATTTTGTGTAATCAGTGTAAGTTTTATTAATTTATGGTAAACGGCTTTTAAGTTAATAATTATTTTTAAATTTTGTAATATTTTGTTAATGCAAAAAAATAACAAAAATTTCAAATTTCAAAAAACGGTTAAGAGTGTTTTATTGTTTTGTTGTGAACTACAGATTTTCATAAAAGTTTTAACATTTTAGAAAATCAATGAAATTTTTTTAACACAGTTGAGCTGGTCTGGCCCAGTCATTTTAAGAATATTAATTTTTACGAATTTTCTGTTTTTTATTTCGCTTAATGTTATTTTTTGCAAAAAATTACAAAGCGGTAAAATGACATTTGAGCAAAAATTTATTAAATATTTAATTAATATTTTTAACATAATAGCATATATTGCAAATCTCTATAAATATTTTAATTTTTGCTTGTATTTTTATAGATACTTACAAAAATTATAATATTTTACATAAACTTACGTTTTTCAAAGTTGCAGCTTATATAGACAGGTCGAAAAATATTTCTCACGTCGATTCGATAGTCGCGGTCGTTAAGCGTTTAGATAGATAGGTCATAGATACGGGGTTCGATTCCCACAGGGTATAAGTTTTAATTTAATTCTTCCAGTTTAATTAAAATGTTTGTATGTGTGGAGCGTGCTAAGAATATAAAGTTATTAATGGTCATAAGAATTTTTTATTATTTTTTCCACAAATATTTTTTTTCAAAAATATCTGCTCAATTGTTACCACCTTGGATTTCCAATTGTGAATCGATATCCAAGTTGAAACAAGTTCATGTTGTACAATGTAACCTATTTGGAATTTCCGGTTGACTGTAATGTTCAAACTGAGACCAGTTCATTTTGAACTTGACATTCCAAATTCAAACCAGCTGAAAATACTTATCTACTGGTTTGAAATTGGAACTCACGTGACAATAACCAACTTAAAGCAAGTAGGCTCCTGATTCTACCCGGTTCTACTGGTTCTTTAATATAGGGATATATTGACTTTTATCTATATTTTCCTTGCGATTTCCTAGCGATGAAGGAAGAAAGAAAATATTATTACCTGGGTCCCTCATTTACAAAGGTAAAAAAAAAAAAAAAAAAAGGTCCAAGGCTTCATATTGTTGGTGGTATTCCTTCGTAGGGTCTGATACAGGTCTAATATATATTCCCAGGCAACCAGTTACTTGCTAGACAATTTCCTCAGTGGTCACAGGTTACCAGTATCGCAGTTACTAGTATGTTACAAGTTTTTCAGCTAACATCATAATGGTTGATTTTTACAAGTTAAACTCGTTTACATCTGTTACCCTGGAAACTTGTAACATACTAGTAACTAAAAGTAGTTATTCTAAAATCAGTAAAAGTTCGTGCACCTGAGTTTAATTTTTTTATTTATGCATTTAATGAATATATTTCATTCGATTCACATAAAACATTTACATAAACAATATTCCAAAATAAATTTAAATAGTTCTGGACGCGTTCCACAAATAATTTTTTATGTAAACATCCAAATTTGCCTCAGTTGTATCCTTGAGAGCACATACAACACCTGTAAACATTAATAATTTATTAATAAAACAATATTATGCAATCGTTAACGCTCTAAAGGTAATCAAATATTTTCTAAATTGAATTGTATAGACCACTTTTATGAGAGGACTTCCTTTCATGTGAAAAATAAATGTAATTTAAAAAAATAGTTTATTTACAAATATTTTTAGATAATTAAAATTTTCTCCACAAACGAGTTTACATAAATTTAAAAAATTGTTGTCAATTAAATTCACGACGCCTCATTTTATTTATAGATTATTTGCGACTAAACATATGTATAAATAAATAATTTTTTTATAAAGAAGACATTTTTCATTCTGAAGATATAATTTTAAAAAAATAGTAAAATTCTTTGAAGAGCTATTTAACTTTATTTCGAATTATATATTTTATTACCTTTAAGAATTTTTATAGTGAGGCAATCTTTAAGCCCTTTTTTTCGATTTTATTTAAATTCTTATACTGGCGACCAGCCCAAGAGCATGTTTTGGCGCAATCTTTTGAGAAAATCCTGTCCATTGTTCGAACTATAAACTCCTTATCGGTTTTACCTCCGATTGATGTGATTAAGCTTTTCTGAAATGATAAAATAAAAATTTATGCATATAATTTTCCGGAATATGAAAAGTCAAGCGTACAAGATACTTACAAATTGTTCATCCACTAACTCATTAGTGGATAACAGGTTCTCAAAATTTAAAATTTGATCGAAAGTCTTAAGAGGCAATAAGTTCCTTATCGATTCGCCAACGACGTTTGTTGCTCCATATATTTTCTCCAGGTGCGAAAACCGCAAATTAATATTTTCCATGATACTTCTAGTTTCCTTTAAAAGACTTAATGCTTTTTTCTTATGAGCTAAAAAATGGGAACTATACATATTTTGAAATAACAAAAAAATATCGAAATCAATATAAATCATGCATGTATTACCAGTTATGTCAATGACGGGAATTTGAACTTCCTGAACTGTATCATCTGCAAAAAATTATGTACAATTTAATGGTTTCTAATTTAATTTGTTCTCTCTTTATTAGAATCAGTGGAATACACTAATGTATGTCATAATTTCGTAATTTAAAAGAAAAAGACAAATTAAATTAGAAATTCGTTTTGGTGGAAGTGCGAAGAATTTATTTTTGAACATTTTAAACGATTGATAATTGCATTTAAAAAAATAACAATTTTCTGGCAATAAGAAACATTTGTTATTTGAGAAAATATATGAAACAACAAACGTCTTTGGCGAATCGATAAGGAACTTATTGTCTTTTAAGACTTACGATTAAATTTTAAATTTTGAGAACCTGTTATCCACTAATGAGTTAGTGAATGAACAATTTGTAAGTATCTTGTACGCTTCAGAAAATTATATGCATACATTTCTATTTTATCATTTCAATCATTTATCATATAATTTTAGGTTATGTTGCTTAACTCATTTATTATTGACAAAAAATTATTATTTTTATTTAAGTATAACCTTAAATTGTTCAAAACCAAAAGGAATTTAAAATTTAATGTCACCATTTTTTTAAAATACGAAATTATGATATTGGACTAACTTTTGTTCCAATTGTTTGTCAAATTCTTCTTTAATTTTTTACTACCTATGTGACCGCACCGGAGAAAAGAGAATTTTCGACCGAAATTTTTTTCTTGAAACTAATAGCATTACATTGTTAAGACTTTAAATATAAGAAATCGTCAAAATCAAATTTTTTTTATCATAAGCCCTCTTTTCTCAGAAGCGGTCGCATATATTATTTATTTAGAAATACCTTTTCTACCCGAGCTTTTACTTACTTGTCGAACTATTTACATTTTTGTTACGGTATAGAAGTGTTCGGTCCAATTCACTAGGCATTTGCGGCACACTAGATACTTTTGGATTTTTATCTGAAATAAATGTAATCAAAGAAAGATATTTTATAATATCTATATATAATAAGAATGCTGATAATAAATATTATTCCAACATTACCTCCAATTAAAGATTTATTGCTGTTGCCTGGTAAATGAACTTCATTTCGCGAAATTATGTGAGATTTTAATTGTTGTAAGTAGATGAGAGCAGCTTCCCAGTCACCTAAAATATAGGTAAGTAGGAAACATACTTTAATTACAATTCTTTGGAAAAAATTATTAATTATAAAATAAATAGATAATTAAAGCACGATAATGAGAGTGTATTTTAAATCTTGCCATTACGTACTAAAAAATTTTATTCTTTTTATTTCTATCAGAGGCCACAACTCTTTATTGATTTCAATTCGATCCTTTGCCCATTGCAACGAAGATTCTTCGTCATCCACATCTTCTTGAGGAATGTAGCACTTCAATCCACTTCTAGAATTTTGGATCCAATGAGAAGCAACAATTGCATTTATCCCTATATCCAAACGTTTGACTACTACGTACGCCATTTTAATAACTTGTTGTTTTTAACTGAATATTTAAAAAAACATGACATTTATCATTTTTAAATATATATATATATATATATATATATATATTATTATTATTATTATTATTATATTATATATTATATATTGGATAAGAGACAAAATTGGAAATTTGTTTTTATTTTCTATAGGAGGCAAAATTTGGTAATAACATTGAATAAAAGGAAATTATAATATTTATAATTAAATGTATAAAACTTGATATTAAAATTCTACTGTAATATTACTATTTTTAAATTTTTAATTCCTTGATATAAGTAAATTTTATAAAATAAAAGAACAATGTCTAACAAAGGAGAAACTGTAAATTTGACTACTGATGATTTAAGTATTGTTGTCACTGAAGGAGCAATGCTAAATAATGATCATATGTATGAATTTCAAAAGCTATTGGGAAGACAATCAAATTTTTTTTATAATATGCAAAATACTTTGTGTTTACAAACACTTGATTTGATAGTTCCAATCGAGAAAAATAAGCAGCACATTCAAATACTTTTTAGTGGATATTATAAGTCTGGTCATTGGATTTGTACTTATTATGATGGAAAAAGCCTTTACATTTTTGATAGTCTTAATAAAAAATATTTAAATGACGATCAAAGGGCTTACTTAATTAGATTATATCCTTTTGAACCACCAGTAGTTTTCACAACTGTTGATCAACAACCATTAAACAGTCTTGCTTGTGGAATATATGCAATAGCATTCGCAACATCGTTATTTTTTAATATTATGCCTGATTCTGTCAATTACTATTATTGTAATATGAGAAATCATTTAATGTTAATGTTCAAAAACAATAGTTTAAGTGAATTTCCCTCAGTACAAATTTCGAATAGTAGATCTTGCATAGTTGTGTATGACTGGAATTGTCTTTTAAATAAAAAAGATAAAAAATTTCAGTGTGGAGAATCAAACTTTTCTAAAAACTCTATTAAGAAAGAGATTTCTTTTCCGAGAATAATAAATAAAATAACTGAAGAAAATATTGCATCAACAACGTTTAAACAAAGAAGGGCTGAAATTCAAAAAAATTATCGCGATAAGCAAGAATTGAAGCGTGAAGTTGATAATGCAAATTATTCAGAGGAAGCACACACTTCCCTTTCTTTTCCAAGAGCAATAAATAGAATAAATAAAGGAAATGTTGAATCATCAACAACACTTAAACAGAGTAAGGCTGAAATTCAAAGAAATTATCGCGAAAGGCAAAAATTGAAGCGTAAAGTTGATAATGCAAATTATTCAGAGGAAGCACACACTTCCCTTTCTTTTCCGAGAGCAATAAGTAAAATAAATGAAGGAAATGTTGAATCATCAACAACACTTAAACAGAGTAAGGCTGAAATTCAAAGAAATTATCGCGAAAGGCAAAAATTGAAGCGTATAGTTGATAATGCAAATTATTTAGAGGAAGCACACACTGTCCTTTCTTCTCCGAGAGTAATAACTAAATTAAATGAAAAAAATAATGCGTCAACAACACTCAAACAAAGTAGGTCTGAAATTCAAAAAAATTATCGTGATAGGCAAAAACTGAAGCGTAAAGTTGATAATGCAAATTATTCAGAGGAAGCACACACTGTCCTTTCTTTTCCGAGAGTAATAACTAAATTAAATGAAAAAAATAATGCGTCAACTACACTCAAACAAAGTAGGTCTGAAATTCAAAAAAATTATCGTGATAGGCAAAAACTTAAACGTAAAATTGATAATGTAAATTATTCACGTGAAGTGCACACTTCAACTAAGAAAAAACTTCAAGTTGAATCTAAAATAGAATATGCTCAAAACCTTAAATTAAAAAATATAAACAGTGATAGAAGTACTTTGTCAAAAACAAAAAATACTCTATGTCAAAGAAATTATTGTGAAAGAGTATTAAATCATCAAATTCAAAATGAGTTGAAACTGGTAAATAATAGTATAAATTCAAATTTGAATATTTCTGATTCAAAGAAAATATTAAATATAGATTTAGATGATAATAAAACATTTAAGACAAATAATGTTGAAAATTATCTAGGTCCAATGAATTATTACTGCACACATTGTCAAGCTAAACATTTTAAAGATGAACAAGTTTCTGGTAGAAAAGTTAGTTTTAATGACTGTTGTAGTCATGGAGGTGTTGTTTTAACTTCTATACAATATCCAGATGAATTAAAGCTTTTGCTTTTGCTTCATGAAAAATCTGGTCATTTTAAAAAGAATATAAGGCTGTACAATAATTCTTTTTCTTTTGCATCTTTAAATGCTAATGTAATTAATTTTAATGGAAGAAGAAGAGGACCATTCTGTTACAAAATTCAAGGTCAAATTTACTATCAAATTAATAGTGCTTTATATCCGGATAAAGGTGAAGATCCATGTTTTGGTCAATTATTTATTTATGACCCTGAGAAATCAATCAGATACAGATTAAAAAGTAACGACAATTTGGATGAAGACGTTTTAAAATCTATAGAAAATATTATGAGAAATTCTAATACATACACAAAATCTTACATGATGATGTCAGAAGTAATTAGAATAGAAACTGAATTAGCAAGACAAAAAAATGAAGAAATTCCTGAATTACAATTATTGTTCACTTTGAAAAAAGGCTTTGATAAAAATAGATATAATTTTCAAAGTTTTAATGAAGTTGCTGCAATTTTTAATACAAACTCTGAGGGAGAAATACCAGAATTTTATGTAACGGTTTATAATAAATCTACAAAGGAATTAAAATTGGTTAGTAATTTAGATCCGAATGTTGAACCATGGATTTATCCCATATTTTATCCACTTGGAAATAAGGGTTATAATATTAATATGATTCGTAGTGATAGTAATTACAGAAGTAGAAATCATACTATTTCTAGGTCTGCCTATATTAAATACAAAATTGCTGTAAGAGATAAAGAATTTAATCAATTTTTATATGGAGGTAGATTGTTTCAACAATGGGTGGTTGACAATTATGTAAAAATAGAAAAAGATAGATTAAGATTTTGTGCAAATAATCAAGCTCAATTAAGAAGTGAAACATATAAAGGACTGATCGATTATTTACACAATCATGAGTTGGAAAATGATGTACACGTGGGAAAAACGCTTATATTGCCATCCACTTTTATAGGATCACCTCGTAATATGATGCAACAATATCAGGATTCGATGGCTATTGTTGCTCGTCATGGTAGACCAGATTTATTTATTACAATGACATGTAATCCTAATTGGAAAGAGATACAGGAAAATTTATTCCCCTATCAAACTGCTGCTGATAGACCTGATATAGTAACTAGGGTTTTCGCATTAAAAGTAAAACATCTACTTAAACTTATTGTTGATAATAAATTATTTGGAGAGGTCAAATCTTATGTTTATCTTATTGAATTTCAAAAGCGAGGATTGCCACACATTCATTTGTTAGTTATATTGAAAGAAAATTCTAAAATATTAACAGTTGAAAGTGTTGATCGTTATATTTCTGCAGAGATTCCTGATGAAAATATTAATCCTACTTTACATAAAATAATAATGCAAAATAATATTCACGGACCTTGTGGAGATTGGTGTTTAATAGATGGAAAATGTTCAAAAAAATTTCCAAAAAATTACCAAGAAGAAACTACAATTGAAGAAAATTGCTATGTTCATTGTCGTCGAAGAAATAATAATAAAGCATATGAACGACCAAATGGATTTATTGTTGATAATTCTAATGTTGTTCCGTACTGCCCTAAACTTTCAGAAATATTTAATTGCCATATTAATGTTGAAATAGTTTCGAGTATCAAGTCTGTTAAATATTTATATAAATATATTCTGAAAGGGCATGATGCTGCATCTATTGTTATCACAAATGCGAATGGCGAGGTAACTGTTAACCATAATGAAATACATCATTATGAAGAAAATAGATATGTTGGTCCAGTTGAGGCAGTTTGGAGAATTCTAAGTAAACCTTTAGGGAAAAAGAGTCATAGCGTTAACCGGTTACCCCTACATTTGCCAAATGAACAGAATGTTATTATTCGAGAAAAAAAGGATAGTAACGACATTTCTTTCGATTTAAATAAAAATACAAAACTTCTGGATTATTTTAAACTTAACCAACGAGATAGTAATGCTCAAAATTATTATTATTCAGAAATACCAGAGCATTATACATGGGTAACAAAATTTCTTGAATGGAAACAAAGAATTCGTAAAGAAAAAGTATTGGGAAGAATGTATTCTGTTAATCCACATCAATTGGAATTATTTCACCTTAGATTATTGTTGCTTACAGTAAAAGGAGCAACTTCTTTTGAAAGTTTGAGAACAGTTAATGGAGTTGTTCATGAATCTTTCACATCTGCTTGTTTGGCATTAGGACTTGTAGAAGATGATAGTGAGTGGATTAGGACAATGGAAGAAGCTGCATTATGGATGATGCCTCATTCACTTCGACAGTTATTCACAAGAATTTTAATTCATTGTCATCCTGTACATCCGGATAAACTTTGGGAACAATTTAAGGGCCAAATGTCAGAAGATTATTCAAAACTTATCCACATTGAAGCTGAACAAAGGGCTTATAGAAATATTAAAACAATGTTATTTAACGAAGGATATAATTTAACTGACTTTCGGGGGTTATTAGATATACAAGATGAAATTGTTACTGAACAAGTTAATGATATAAATATTGTAGAACATATTAACATAGGAAAACAGAATTATGCTAAATTAAATGAAAAACAAAAACTTGTAGTTGATTATGTTCTTGATGCCTTAAAGGATTCTTCTCTTGATAGTTCTAAGTGCTTATATGTTGATGGTTGTGGAGGATCTGGAAAAACATTTTTATATACTACACTATGGCATTTATTAAGAAGTAAAGGAATAAATGTTTGCAACATGGCATTTACATGTATAGCTGCGACTCTGCTTCCTAATGGAAAAACTGTTCATAAAGTTTTGGG